TTGAAATGAAATGTATTGCAGACATTACTGTATTGTGCCACACAACTTTGCCAGTGACATGCCAAACTCTAGCAGTAATGATAAAAATAAACATCTCAATTTTACTTGTTGATTGATTTACCATCGTCTAATCCCAAACTTCTAGGCTGGCCAAGTCAACTTTTAAATGACCACGGAAGTATGTAGAATGCCGGCACCTGAAAGTCTACAAAAACTGTATGTGAAGAGGGTAGCTTCGGGTCGTCTTTGCGCACTGTACTATCTAATGCAGGAGTGAGGTTTTATTGCTTGTAGCAGAGTGAAGTGAATCAGCGTTGGGAATCATCGATTCACACTGTGTTTAAATAATATCCAGCATTAAGAAATGTGTCTGCATAAGGTGCAGAAACACTGCAGAGCCTCTGACCGGCAGGAACTAGGTTCGAGTCCCGAAAGTGACAAGTATTTTCGACTCCAGCCTCTCAACTAGGTCGAATTCAATCGCTGCCTGGAGGAGAATTCTTGAGATCAAACGCTCTCATCGGTAGTTCTCCGATAAACACCAGGCAAATGCCGGAGCAGTACCCTAACCAACGGGCCACAGACACCGCGCGTTCTTTCCTTCCTCTTCCTTGTTCTATCCTCTTCCCTTACACACACACACACACCAACACGCACTACACTACCACCCATGCCAGGAGACCGGTTGGGTGCTCAGAGCTTGTCCCGGCTAGGGCGGTGTCCCGCTGGTGGGAGATACCTGTTGGGAGAAACCTCGCTAGCCGTCGGTTGGTCAGCGCCCGGATCTCTCCGTCAAGCGCCACGTTCCAAGGAAAAAACATGCCCTACACTTACGGCACGCGTGACCTCAGTAGTTAAAGTGCCTAACGAATCACTAACAACCAACCTTCCAACCAAATGGCAGATACGAAATTAAAAGTGACTTGTCACCTTGATTCTCCACATTTTTCTTACAGACTTATAGAAGGTTTTTATCGAATATAAACAGCAGAAGGTCATTTACGCAGTGATAAATGTTTTCATGTATCGGAATATTTTGAACTTCTTAGTCAAGTTCAATTTAAAATTTGAAAATGAGTTTCTATGTATATAATCTTCAGAATGTTATGTGAACACCATTAAATAGTGGAGTGGACTGTTGATTATATTATACCAAGAAAACTTTTTTTTTTGTTATTTAAGGTCGCATCAACTATTAGGGCATTAGCGACCACTATTGCTTGTAATGGTATGGTAACTGTGGGGATGACACGATAATGATGACAGGGGGTGAAAGGACGAACATGCCCGAGGCGGAACCCGCGATCCTTCGTTCCGAGATCGCTACGGCACTACTGCCTTAGCAATCTCGGCCATCCGGACCGGCCAAAAAACTAATTTGTTTCTACAAATTCAACAAAATATTTTCCTTCATCATCTGGTCATTTTGTACTTTTCAATAAACAGACTCTTTTCTCCAATTTGTTTGTTTTCACTCAAGCCTTTCCTTTGATGCTCAACTTCGAAGTCTAGGACTCCAAATTAGAAACACGATACCCTCGCTTCCATCGCCAAGATTTTAGTATTTTTCTGTCTTCTTTACCAGAAAAATAAAATTATGATATATTTTATAATAAAAGTGCATAAGTCGTCGATTGTTTTGGAAAATATTTTTGTTAAATTAAAGGTCGGATATTCAGCATCTTAACCTCCCTTGTAGGTGTAGGGTGGGGCATGATAAGAACGGAGATTGTTTATAACAAGATATGATCATACTGAGGCTGTTTTGTGTCCTATTTGAGAGCGGCAATCTCGAATCAGGGATAACTTAATTTGTTGCTGCAGGCTGAACGGTTATGTCTTACTAGGAAACTTTTCACCCCAAAATTTTGTTTAAATCTACGGTAGATATTTATATTGAAGGAGCGTTTAATGCTCAGTGAATCTCGTGAATCTGATCGCTCGGTGAATCTGATCGTCGTATGTTCGTTTTCCTTAACGAAAAGACACCTTTGCCCTTCACTTACAGTATTTACTCAGTGACAAATCAAAACTAAAAACAAGTTCGGATCAAGGCTGACTGATACCGTATTCCAAAGGCTCGTCTATCTGTAAAGTGGTCAAATATAAGCAAAGGATTTCTGTATGAGCATAATCTGGTCCGTTGCAGTTCTGAAGGAACTATATCGCTCAGAACCGCAAAAGATAAGCGGGCTCTCTAGGAGAGTAATCAGTTCCGGGCTTATTCACACAACTTACTCATTTTTCTTCAGTCATAGTATGGCTTGCGATGTGTGTGTGTGTGTGTGTGTGTGTGTGTGTGTGTGTGCGAGTGTGTGAGTGCCCGTGAATGTGTTATCAGAGATAACCAAGTGGAACCCCAAATAAAATGTGACCCTAAAGATACTGCCAGTGTTAAACTGGACGTGATTCTATCAACAACGATCACTCGCCCGAGCTCGTATTACTGTTCAGTATGGAGATTCTCTTAGTGTCTACAATATTACTTCTACCGGTTGCTACCTTATGTGCAGAGACTCTTCCAGTTTGCAGGTGAGTATAAGTTACTATTTCTTTACGCATACAGAGAAAAGCCACAGCAATTGGAAGTATTTAAAATTGAAAAATATAAATATAATGTATGATGTCAAGAACAAATGCTTAATAATTAGATTCGTTCAGTACATCGCTTTCCAACTCATTATTCCGTCAATAATTTGACCTTTTACTTCGCCTTTCTAGTACTTGATCTAAATGCGTATGCTTAAAAAGGATTGGTAAAAGAAAATTCGGTAATATATTGAGAGAATAAAGAGGGCTAAAACCGATACGGTTAGGCAGGTAGATGTGAATTGTTGTGAAAATATTGGAATCACTTCAAATATGTTATTTCCAATTTTAGGCAATTATTCTCCAATTTTAGGCAGTTAACACCCACTTGAAGATTTTTTTTTGAGCTGTAACTTCAATATTACTGAGTATTAATGCTGTTTTAAAAATAGCAAAGATTGATGTTGGTGACGAAAATATCCATGCAATTAGACTTTCTAGCTACGGAGTAGAAAGTTATGATGTGCTACGCAACAAAAAACGGCAAATTTTCTGCAGGAAAATTTATTACATTGTTTTAGAGACGAAAAATGGATAAATCAAGTTGCTAAATGCACAAACAAATTGTCTAACTCGTGATGTAGCCGGAATCAATGTTTTGTGAGTTCTTTATATGAAACAATCGAATAACGCCAAAACGTGTGTCCATTCATTTGTCCGACAGTTTGTCCGTCCGTCTGTGAACAACGCCAGCGGCTAAACCGTGCAGACGACTTTCTCCAAACTTGATATTTCCGAATGGATTTGGTTGATGTCGTGGTCCCTTGAATTTTAAACCGATATTTTAATTTTCAAGAGTACTCTACATGAAGCAGAACTTTTTATTAAATTTTATTTTTGCGTATAATAGTGAACGTTTAAACGAAAGTCTTATATTAGTTGACATCCCTGACTTTTCGAAAATTGCAAAAATTCAACAATTTTCTGGAGTCTTCCTACAACAACATTAAAGATTTTAAATTTTATTTTATTACAGATAAACATTTTTTTCTTAATGAAATTTGTTTCTTAAATGAGAACCTACACTTCCGCGGCCGGAGGCAGTAATTACTGGGCTATCCGGGTGACGGCGCGTCCAGGGCATAGGTGCCAACGTTTCGGTCGCCATTCTGCGATCTTCATCAGGGCGTAGTTATTACGTAGTTGTCCAATAAATACGACCTGAAGAAGATCGCAGAATGGCGACCAAAACGTTGGCACCTGTGATCTAGACGCGGCGCCTCTCGGATAGCCATGAAATGTCGTGCACAATTTTTCGAAAATTTGTAATATTTGCGTAATATTGCGTAAGTATATGGGCAAGAATGCTATTTTAGATCCATCCCAAAATCTGTTTGTCTGCATGAATTTATGGATGGTACCCACGTTAGTCTGATTAGGAGCTTTTGATCTTAAACGAGATAAATACTTGAGATAAATACTTATAGATGCAGTTGTAGGAATGTAGGATTAACATGTAGTTTTGCTGATTGAAAGATAAAGATTTGTTTTGAAAGTCCTTTACATAAAACCCCTGTGACATTTCCGAAATGTTCTAGATAGAGGCTACATTTTTTATTATTTATTTTGTGCAATGCAAAGAAGTACATGTAGACTAAGAATATGGTTCCAATTTATATTAAAACCAATGAAATTTTGAAAATTTCAAAGATCAAATCTATATCTGCACCTGTCCTACGCCTTCACAATCAAAGTTACGTGTTTCTTTCTTAATGCCATTTATACCTTAATTGTAGATCTCCAAATGATAATCTGCGCTTTCTGAGTAATAACTAACAACACTAAGAGACAGAAATGTTTCGATATATCGCACGCATTTCTAATAGTTTTTATTCATGAGTGATTAAGAGATTTATTTATTACTTTAAATTGAGGTGTATTCACATTTAATTTCAAGATATATATATTCTAGTATATATTTAAATCAATTTTTTCACAAACTCACTAAAAAATAATTTAAATTGTTTGCAATTAAAATAAATTTATAATAAAAACTGTTCAATTCACAACATTAGTATAATTTTATCACTTTAAATGACATCAAGAATTATTGTTACTAAGCACTATTCACAATTTAACCAGTTTTAATTCTTATGAAAATATAAAATTAAGAATGCATTATTTCTCTATCTCGTTTTAGGGAATGAATACGAAAAATGAAGTATTGAACATTGTTTCAAAGCTTCTCAAATAAGCAACGTTTTGGCGACCCTATGTCATGTCCATTACCTTCTTTTGCTTTTTTTGCCATAAAATCAACTCAATTTCCCAAGAATATATTACTATGCTTCATCGAAACAACAGTACTTACGCCCTCCTAATAAGCACGTGTGTTATATTTTATCACAGAAACATTTGATGCATTGAACAATTCTCCGTACTTCTGGAAGATAATTTAGAATACTTTTCTCATGAGAATTGCGCTCTTCTGCAGCATTAACGTGGAGCAGCTGTCGGAGCGTGCGCCGCTGCTGCTGCGCCCTGGCGGGCCTCTCAACGTGTCCGGCTTCGCGGCGCCAGACGCGGACCACGTGGTGCGCCTGTCGGCCAATGCCTCACTCCTGCTGGCCTGCCCCGGCCCCGGCAACCAGCTGCTCTTCGCCAACCGCACCACGGGATTCAGACAGGTAGCACTTGCCGGCAGCGGCTCTATTTTGCCCCAGCCCCACCCTTCCCGCTAAATGACAATTAAACTACGAAATTTCTCGCAATCAGACCTAATTCTGAATCTTAGAGAAGGCAAACAAATGTTTATGGCTAAATCTAAGATACTTCTTCCACTGCATTTAAATAATAATAATATTAATATTAATAATAATAATAATAATAATAATAATAATAATGAAAATAATAATAATATTTGGCTACAATTGGCTGATTGCCAGGTGGTAGCCATAACCCTACAGTTTTACAATATATGTACTTTTACAATTCAAAAACAATTTCAATATAAAAACAATTTACAATACATTCCTTTCGAGAATATACACCCAATATATAATATATAATAGCTTCCAGACCCTTGATACTCCAATATCACCAACTACCGGCTCTTCCGGAAATGCACAACGGGATTCACACAAGTAGAACTCGCAAGCAGAGACTATTTTGTCCCAGCCCCAAAACTCCCGCCTATTTACAATTACACAACGCGATTGCTCGCAGTTAGACCCCGTTCTATACCCTCGACCAGGCAAACAAATGTTTGTGTCTTATCTAAGACAAATACTACATTCTCTGCACTTAAATAGCTTCCAGATCCTTGATACTCAAATATCACTAACCATCGGCTCTTCCAGAAATGCACCAGGGGCTTCAGACGGGTAACTCTTGTAGCAGAGACTCTATTTTAGCTCTGCCCCAAAACGATCGCTCATTTTTAACTATACAATTAGACATTAACTCGCATCATCACTTTGACATTTTCCTTGCCTGCCATACTGAAATACGAGTAGTTTATCTTCCACTCCACAACAAAGTTCAAAGACGCATCGGTTTGCTCTCACACCCTCTTCTTTCTCCAGAGAAAACAAACAAACCTTTATGCCTCAACTAAGATAGATACCAATTCCACAGCCTTTAGATAACTTACGTTCATCGACCCTTTATTTTCTTCAGCCAGTTCTTTTGCGCCAAACGCATAACAAGCTCTAGATAGGTGACAATGGCTTATAGATTCTCTTCCATTCCCCAACGCCAAACTCAAATAGCTCGTCGTCTATCAATCGAAGATAGTCCAACAGATATGCGTCGCTCTTAAACTTCGTCCCAGCATTAAAATGAAATAACTATTCACTCACTGCACATTAAATAAGGCGAAGGGTAAATTCAATAGGCCTAACAAGATTCTCAAATAAATTATTAAATTTAAGAATATTGCTTCATTATGAATCACTCATACTCCGGATGTCTTTTGAGGCTAAACCCAGCTTATATTGTTACCTATCCATTACTATTCAAACATTTTTCCGTCTGTTACCCAAGTAAATATTTGATGGTTGCTGACATGTATATCTTAGACAGCTATCACATCCAATAAATTCTCTAGCCTACTCTTTAACTCATGTACGAAAAAAACTGTTAGGCAAATTTCAAAAATGAACTTCCTCAAATCATTCACGTCCCCTCCTCCAGCTCTTCTATTATTTCCCTTTCTTATTGCACCTCAAGAAAATGGCCTACTCACCAAATTAAAAGCTATAAGTAATATTCAAAAAAAATTAACTTCAAATCTCGCACACACCTCTCTTCCTGTTGCGCTTATCCTCTTCCTGTCCTTTCTTTTTGCACCTCAAGAAACAGGCCTACTCATCGACTAAAATGTTGTTAGACAGGTTTAAAAAAATAACTTCCTCTAATCTCTCACGCTGCCTTCTTCCTGCCCCTCTTATCTTCTTGCACTTTCTTTTTGCACCTCAAAAAAATGGCCTACTCATCAACTAAAACGTTGTAAGGCAGGTTTAAAAAAATATCTTCCTCAAATCTCTCACGCTGCCTTTTTCCTGCCCCTCTTCTCTTTTTGCACTATATTTTTGTACCTCAGGAAACTGACCTACGCATCAACTAAAACACTGTAAGGCAAAAACAAACTCACACAAATCTCTCATGCTCCCCTCTCCCTGCCCTTCTCCTCTTCCTACACTTTCTTGTGGTACTCCTACAAACAGACCTACTCATCAACTAAAGCTTTGTAAGGCAGGTTTAAAAATCTAACTTCCTCAAATCTCTCTTCCTGCCCTTCTCTTCATGCCTTTCCTTTTTGTACCCCAGCAAAATGGCCTACTCACCAACTAAAGCACTGTAAGGCAAATTTTAAAAAATGAACTCCCACAAATCCCTCATGATCCCTTCTCCCTCTTCATCTCTTCGTGTTCTTTCTTTTCACACCTCAGGAAAATTCAACAATAATATTGGTGTTGAGACCGAATGGCGATGGTGATCTGTGGTTGCAGGTGAGCGCGACGTGCGCGCGGGAGGGCGTGGTGACGGTGCGCGGTGAGCCGGTGGATTTGCGCTCGGTAGAGTGCGCTGGGCACGTGGAGCGCACTGCGGAAAAGGACGCGTACCGGCGCTGCGGGGACGGCGAAAGAGGACAGCGCATGCGCGTCGGCTTCCGCCTCATCACGGGATTCCTGGATCTCGTGACCGTTTGCTTCGACGACCAGCTGCTCTCGCCCATCTACTCCAACTACACGCTTGTAAGTACAACTGCTAAACTGTGCACTTAATTGCTTTAACGACCATGGACCCTCGCCCATCTACTCCAACTACACGCTTGTAAGTACTACTCGTAAGTAAGTTCATTAATTGCCTGGGCGACCAGCGGCTCTCGACCATTTACTCCAAGTAGACGCTTGTAAGTGCTCCTGCAAGGTGATTCATTTAATTGCCTAGATGATGAACGGCTCTCGCTCATCTACTCCAAGTACACGCTTGTAAGTAATCCTACAAGACGGTTCTTTTAACTGCTTTGACGACCAGCTGCTCTCGCCCATCTACTCCAACTACACGCTTGTAAGTACTCCTGCGTGCGAAACTGTTCATTTAATTGCTCTCTCCCAACTACTCCAACCATACGCTTGTACATAATCCTGCAAAACTGTTCATTTAATTGCTTCGATGACCAAGTGCGATTGTTCGTCTACTCCAAGTACACGCTTGTAAGTTCTCCTGCTAGATGGTTCTTTTAAATACCTCAATAACCAGCTGCTCTCACTCATCTACCCCAACTACACGCTTGTAAGTAATTCTGAAAGAAGTTTATTAATTGCTTCGACGACCATGGACCCTTGCTCATCTACTCCAACTACACGCTTGTAAGTAATCCTACAAGACGGTTCTTTTAACTGCTTCGACGACCAGCTGCTCTCGCCCATCTACTCCAACTACACGCTTGTAAGTACTCCTGCAATGCGGTACATTTAATTGCCTAGGCGACCAACGGCTCTCGCTCATCTACTCTAACTACACGCTTATAAGTACTTCTGCAAGACTAGTCATTTATTTGCTTCGACGACCAGCTGCTCTCGTCAAGCTTCTCAAAGTACACGCTAATAAGTACTCATGCAAGCCGGTTCATTTAATTGCTTCAACGATCTGTGGCTCTCGCCCAACTACTCCAAGTACACGCTAGTAAGTACTCCTGCAAAATTGTTCATTTCATTGCCTCGGCGATCAGCGGCTCTCAACATCTACTCCAAGTACAGGATCGTAAGTACTCCTGAAAGAAGTTTATTAATTGCTTCGACGACCATGGGCCCTCGCCCATCTACCCCAACTACACGCTTGCAAGTAATCACGCAAAACGGTTAATTTCATTGCTTCGACGACCAGCTGCGATCGTTTAAGACAGGTTTCACTCCACTCCGTTTGTGTCTCCCTGCAGGTCCAAGGCACGGCACGCACGTGGTCGGGGAGAAGTCGCCTTGATTTCCGCGCTGGGCGGCTCTTCGGCAGCGTAGACCCTGCGCACCAATACGAGACGCAGCGCAAGACGCTGGAGCGACACCGCCAACTCCTGGACTCTGACCCACTTGTCTCTGAAACCCTCACCCCCGACGCTGGGCCTACTTGGGCACCCGGAGCTGCCACAGTGTTCTACGGTGAGTGTACCACAGCGGATGGCGGAGGTGCGTTTATCTTTCGGAAAGAGCTCAATAAGTGTCCACTTTTTAATTATTCGAGTAGTTGGAGTAAACTGATAGAAATCATTACATATACCGTTTGTTTCTAAATGAAAACAGACTTTTGACAAATCTTGAAGTCAATAGTAGCTTTTCTAGCAATATTTTACAATATGTTTTAATATTTTTTGATACCTGTACCATCGAGCCCTAACAAGTCTGGAATGCATGATCGTTGTGTTTAATCTGTTTGTAATCTTAATATCTATTAAGTTTAGTGATAGAGTAAGAAATTAGGAACTCGCACACGATAATGTTTTTACTGATTATCGATTGGTCTTAATACGTTTCGTACCTTTATACGGAAGTGTATCACAAGTGACTGAGTGGAGATTGTGTGTGTGTGTGTGTGTGTGTGTGTGTGTGTGCGCTCGCGCGCGTGCGTGCCTACGTGTTGCAGAAATGGTGACGCCGTAGATGTTGAGTAAGCACCTACTGTGTCTGGCTGACTTAATGACACGCGAGTGAGTAGCAGTAATCGCGACACTGCGCCTCACAGAAGAAGATATCTAATTTTCTTCATGAGGAATATATCATGTAGCTGAGTGAGAGTATGACCTGACACTGTAGCAGTGAATACAGCGCCGCAGTGGTGTATGGTGACTAAACGTCTTAATGAATTGTTTCTATGCAATTAGAGACTATACAAAGCATCCAAAAGGAAAGTAATATTATTTTTAACAATGGCATTTGATGCATTCTATATCATTTGGATTGTAGAATTGTAACGAAGGGCTGTAATGATTGTAATTGTACAAGTATTGTACTTCAGCTTCTGGGTCAATGTCCCCTATCTCGATCTGGTTGTCATCCAGTTTCCTTGATCCTCGAACAAATGCTGATATGGCCCCTTGTTTTGCTTCTGGACATAAATGTAACCTCAAATTAACTTCTTCCCATAGCACGTCACATACAGTTTTTAACTTTTTTTTACGTAAATAAATAAATACCCCATATGACTAAGTAAGGCAATGAACTGTATATGCCTGTGTGTGTTGCAGTGATTACGTCATCGCTATGTAGGATGGTGATTAAGTTCCTTTATGAGTTGTACCTCGTGTGACTGATTGAGAGATTTACCTCCGTGTGTGTGTGTGTGTGTGTGTGTGTGGTGAAGTAAACACGGCGCCACAGTGGAGAGTGGTGACTAATCTTCTTTCTGAGGTGAGCCACACGTGACTGACTGAAAGTATGTCCTGTGTGTATTTTGTTGAACGCGTCACCCCTATCTAGGATGGTGATCCTTTATGAGTTTTCCCTCGTATGACTGATTGAGAGATTTACCAGTGTAGGTGTATGTGTTGCAGTGAACGCGTCACCGCAATGTAGGATGGTGATTAAGCTCCTTTATGTGGTGTACCTCACGTGACTGACTGAGAGCATGTCCTGTGTGTGTTGCAGAGGACGCGGCGCCGCAATGGCGGAGTGTCAACGTGGGTGCGTGGGCGTGGGTGGAGCGCGCAGCGCGCAGCCTGGCGGCGGAGCGCGGAGACTTGCTGGTGGTGACGGGGGTGTGCGGTCTGACGTCACTGCCCGATGCGCAGGGGAATCGCACCCCGCTCTTCCTTTTCACCCAAGGCACCCAGCGCATGATGCCCGTGCCCGCGCTCTACTGGAAGGTACCGGAATCTTTCTCGAGAAATAAAGCTGTACGGCTCAAAAGAACTTACATTAATATATAATGTAAAAAAATATATTGTAAACAAAATCATAATGTTCACTTTTCCTCTAATTGATTGATGTTCTCGAAATTTAATAGAATGGAAATGCTCTCCTCTATCGTAATCATGCCTTTAAGTAAGATGCTGTGCAGATATAATTAAGAAGTTAGAGCAATCTCCTTATGACAAACATTTCGGGGTTGAATAAATTTTCCCTTGAAAATGAAATTATTATTTCCTTAACTACTCTTCTAAAGTAAAATAATAATAAAAATGTTTTTCTCTCAAATGTTGAGATTCGGCAAAGAATATTTGTGTACAATTTTGAATTATAGAGTAATTCGTAAAATATCAAGGTAGAGTTAAAAAAAAGGTACGATATTCTTTTTTTAAAAAGTCAATGATTTTAAGATTGAATGAAGAGTAACCATTAAGAGCACTACTTGTCTAGAAAACGATTTACATAATTTTGTGTGGTAGAGGATCATATCGTGTTAGAGAATCGAAACACAAATTTTATAGATAGTAATAGAACTTTATAGAACACTTCTCTATGTTTAAAAAACTGATGAGTAATATTAAATAGTTAATAATTTACATAGTACAAAAGCGTAGGAGCGAAGAAACTTCTACTTCTCATGCAACAACAGATAATGAAGTACGAAGGGAAAACAGATTGAATGAATGGGTGGAAACAAGAATAATATATGACATTTTATAAAATGTTTATGCCAATTATGCTCTTCTGATTTTTACCCATTCAACTGTATTATTTAAAGTCCCTAACCGTGAATAACTGTTTTTTTTATTTCTGTAACTCTGAAAAACAGGATGACAGAAATTGTTTGATTTTTGTACTATTAAACTAAATTAGCAATAGGTATGACTCAAAGAAAATTTTATTACTTTGCAACAGAAATTAATCGCGTATTTCTTCAATTGATCCCTATAGGAATTCAGCAACTTGGCAATTAATTCATGTGGAAAAGTAATAAAAAGTTATGTTTTCCTTGGTTCAATTCGTAATATCGTACCAATGGTATCAAAAGTCGCCATATTAGTTAATTACATACAGAAGATTAACAAAAAATAGCAAAATAACGAATACATGGACCGAAAATCAGATGAGGCAAAATTAGTCCCTCTCGAAAATATTTTGAACTGTTTTCCTTATGTCTTTTTTATTATTTACGTTTAAAGAATTCTACAAAAAATTGCGGACATATTACCACACAATCGAAATTATGAATCATATTACAGGTTAAACAAAAAACTCCGCTTTCAATATTTCAGAGCAATTGCTTTCATTTTTATCTCTCGTTATGTTCCTCTGAGCGTTTGTATTCCATTTCTTTGCAAGTTGAGCGAGAATTATTGCGAGTAAGTGCGAGAGGAGGGGGTGCGTGCTAAAGGGGGGGGCTGCGCAGGTGCTGTACGACCCGCGCACGCGAGAGGGCGCGGCGGTCGTAGGCAGCAACAACCCCTGGGAGTCGCTGGTGACGCACCCAGAGCTGCGCCTCTGCGCAGACGTCTGCGCACGCCTGCGCTGGCTGCCCACACCCATGCCGCGGGAAGTCTACTGCTGCGAGGTGAGACACACACACACACACACGCACGCACGTGCGCGCACACACACGCACACACACACGCACACACACACGCACACACACGCACACACGCGCGCGCACACACGCACACACGCGCGCACGCACACACATACGCGCGCGCACACACGCACACACACGCACACACACGCACACACGCACACTCGCACACGCACACACACACATACAGCTGCTAATTAATGCGTGCGTCTTTTAGGCACGCCTTGCGTTGATTTGCGTCATAATCTCGTTGGTGAACACGGTTTTTGTTGGGGTTGGAGTGCCCTGATTTAGCTGATTAAGCTAGCAAGATAAAATTCTCCGCCAGCTTGTAGGGATTTACGGCGAAAATGTATTGAGTAATGAAATAGTGAGAAAGTGAATTATATAATTCATTGATAAGGGAAACTTCTGTCACGACCAAGCAAGAAATCGGCGGTCTTTGTTGTCAATGATGAGTTGGTTGAAAAAGTGAACGAAAAAAATCGTAAAAACAGATCGTTCACAATAAGAATACTTTGTGATTAGTTTTACACATATCTCAGCACCGTTTTCGCAAAAAAAGTTATGCAGAAGCAGCCCCCGTCACTGGCGGGCTCTGTCTAGGAAAGTTGGTTTCCAGCTATGATAAACATCTGAACAATTGGGACAGCTATATAGAAAAATAGTGTAAGGAATGCGCTTACATATAAATAAAAATAAAGTTTGTTTTAAAAAAATGAGTTTATCCTAAAAAGGTACACATTTTAATAACACCTCTCGTATATTGCATAATACATATATCATTAGTTCTTAAGAACATCACCTTTTTTCTTTGAGTGGTAATGTATTTTCTTCTGGAGTCGGCCCTTGATGTCCTTACATCGGTATTTTCCGAGTACCGGAATGTTCTTTAAATAGCGAGATAGAGATAGATAGATAGATAGATAGATAGATAGATAGATAGATAGATAGATAGATAGAGAGAGAGAGAGAGAGAAGAGGAGATAGAGAAAGGGGGAAATAGACGTAGAAGAATAGAGGGAGAAAATAGAGCGGGACAGGGAGAGAGAGGAATAGAGGGAGAGAAATGAAATAGAGGAAGAGAAAAGATGCAGAAAAATAGAAGTGTGGAGAGAGTGAGAGGAATAGTGGGGCTAGGGAGGGAGAGAAATATAGAAAGAGAAATGGAGGAGAGAGGAAGAGGCACAGAGGGAGAGAAATGAAATAGAGGAAGAGAATAGAGGGAGAGAAATGAAAAAGAGGAAGAGAATAGAGGAAGAGAAAAGGAGGTGTCGGGAGGGGGAGATGAGTAGTGGGGTGAGGGAGGGAGAGGAATAGAGGGGGAGAGAGGGGGAGAGAGAAATATAGAAAGAAATGCAGAAGAGAGGAAGAAGAATGGAGAGAGAGAAACAGAATGGGAGAAATAGAGGGGAGAGAGAGGGAGGAAATGTGTTGTAACAATGCTCTTCCGTTCGCAGGTGGACGCCCTGCGACTGAGCGTTAGGGATATGCCACCTCTGGAGGTGGAGAGGCTGTTGGTCGGCCCAGGCGCAGAGACCGAACGCCCGTCCACCGCGGCCGCGCCAACCTCCGACCCTCCCACCACGGGCGCCACGTCCACGGAGTCGCCCATGGACCACTCTTCCACGGAAACACATCTCAGCAGCTCGCCACCCCCAGAAACACTGCAACATCAAACTGACAAGTCGCGTTCCGCAGCTCTTCAGTTTTCCACGTCTCTCCTGCTTTGCACGCTCTCAGTTCACGCGGCTCAGAAGACAATGTCCGTGCTATACAACGAATTTTAACCAAATGTACAAATTCATATTTGAAATACTCGGTTTACAAATGACAGCTAAAAAATGTTTCAATCAGAGGCAGTTTTCGAAAAACCCAAAAGAACTTTAAAAAAATATTTACTGTAACTATTTAATTTATACGTTTTTAATTTTGTATTTTTAATTCATAAACATTTAAAAAATAAAACATCTCCACAATATTTTTAAAAATATTTCCTGAGAAATATGTTTTCTACTGGAAAGAGTTTGATTTTAAACACGAAGACAACCTTTTAATTTAGTATTTTTTTTCGTTTAGTTAACTATATATGCTCATTAATTCCATGAAAAATCGATAATTATTTCTATGTTTATGGCATGCGTGCAATTGAAACTTAATCGCGCAATTAAAATTCCACAACAGTCAATCAGAACTTAGAGAAGTGATCGAAATCGTCTAATTATGTATCTTAACCACAGACATAGATAACGAATTTCCAGACGGCCATGAAACATGAACAAAAATGTAAACTACAGATTACGTACACCCAAAATATATAATCGGTGAACAAATGAAAGAAAATTGTAAACGAATAATTATTACTACTTCTTAGGCAATCATATCAATATTTGTTTCTATTCTTTTCTAATTTAACATAAGATAATTTGAAACTATTACGTTACTCATACATTTACACAATTCACAGTTATGTTTGATTCATCTATTTGTACATGATGGTCCTGAGAGAGCAGTTGTTATCACAAAAACGCTTTATTTTTTTATAAAATCAAGTAAATTGTATACAACTTTAAATATCGATATTCTTCTTTACACGCCACATCTTCAACGCAAACAAGTATGACCATACACACTTTGGTTGGGCACTAGCTGACTAATGAAACAACATAAAATATTTAACATGAATAAATGTGTTACGTGTAAAACATTTGATCTAAGCACATTACAAAGATTAAAAATGTATTCATCAGTTGTATTTACCCGCTCTGAGAAGTACATAAGCAACACGTCTGCGTCAGAACTGAATCGTCTTTTTCCTTTCTAGCATTAACACATGTTGTTCTCTCATACATTCCCTTACATTTCTTACGAAGTAATATTTCCATAGCTTTGTCAGCTTCTTCTAATACTTCAATCGGAATACGTTAAATATTTTCCATTTTAAAATGATTGCATAAGTAAGAAACGTCAAAATTGATTTTCAGGAAATGAACTATCAAGAATTTCTGTCCATTGGGGTCCCTGCCCAGCACTTCATTTTATACCATCAGACCCTCTAAACTCGTTACTACTATACATTTGTTGGTTAACAATTTAACAATCTTATAGCGATCAGGAATCTTAATGATTCTATGGATATTGTATTGGTTCCTTTCATTTCAATGGCTAACACACCTTAATTTTATATCCTTCGTATATAATGTTCATTTGATTTTAATAGTTGAGGGGACTGTTTAAAGCACACATAAGCTTCCGAGGCTCGAATCCATAAATTCTCGGCTATCCGGGAGACGCCGCGTCGAACGTTGGCTGGGAGGCCGACGTTCCGCCTGACATGTCGCAGTCTTACTCAGGGCAGTGAGGAGTCACTGCCCTGAGGAAGCCTGCGAAATATCAGGCAAAACGTCGGCTTCGCAACCTCGCAACGGATAGCCAAGAATTTACAGTTAAACAACTTAAACAAAGTTTTGCCTACGTATTGAAACTGTCCAAGGCGATGAACCCTTGATGTCGCTGGAAAGAATTTTGAGAGAAAATAAGTTGTCGAAATATAATTTTCAAAAATAATGCCGGCAGTGATTTGTCATCAAAAGGGAGAACTGTACGGAAGAAAGGTTTAGCGTAGTCATTTGCAAGAAACTCTACTGGTCGCTGGAATTTTCAGATAGTTTAGTGTAGGCAACGAATATCTTGGATTGCAAATGCCATACTAAGATAAACAATTTCATTATATCCAAGCCCTTGATAAAATATTCGAATGTTATAAAAGGTATTTGTCATAGTTCTCTTTAAAATGTTCGTGTTTTGTGAATGCTTTTATGTGGATTTTGCGTCTGCTTTTATGTGGACTTTTCCAGTGTACGTTTATCAATGTCTACTGTAGTTCAGCAAGGCAAAGTATCATTGTCAATTCCAGTAAAGCACTCTCAACAATATTTCTGGTTTTCGTTTTAATTTGTTTGAGATAAGAATAAACCACTTTCAGACACATATAGTATGTACTGTAAAATAGTCATAACATTTCCTGTGATAATTCAAGCATTTTTTGGAAAACGTATTGCAGCAAGGAGAAAATAATGTTTAGCGTTGGTCACTGGCTGATTTGCTATTGCCCTGATTTCCTGATGGTATTTCCATGAAATTTTCGGATCACTGTCTACTAGTTCATATCCTAACGCCTGTTTTACAGTCTGCTTTACAAAAATTCGATGTAGTTGGTTTATTGTTATTTGAATTCAAAGCAGTGCGAAAAGTATTCGATTTTACTGCGTGTTTAATTAACATATATTTTATCCCCTAAGAACAATTACCAACAAAATAAATGAGGAGGATGCATGTCGTACATGGGACACCCGTTGAATCAAACTGGCGAGTATTTTGAGATACACAGGATTCAGACGGCCACTTGGAAATCTGTAAGGCTGATGAGAGACATAATATGTATTTTGGAGTTCCTCTCTGCCAGTCATAAATTTATATTTTTACACGATGCCACCTAACCGCAGTATGTATGTATCTCAGTTGACGCTTGGATACATATTTCAAAGTTGGGGATGAGGCTTCAAAATGTGGCCTTCATAATTTACCTCAAACATTCTTACAAATAGGCAACGCATAATTTTCAACTGAATTGGATGTCAAAATATCTTCCGCAAATATACATCAAGACTACACTCAGACGATCTCCTTATTTTAGCCAGCGACCTAATTTGCTAAGCCTATAATTTGCAAATATGCTGCATCTAATGGCTAATTATTAATGATTCCTCAAACTAATAAGCGAATTAATAGGATAATTTGCGAAATGGCCGTTTTTCGAACTTAAGTTGAAACTTATACAGGAACTTAAGTCGTAGGTAAATGATCGGAGAATACGT